TTCTAGCTCCACACTCCCGCTGCACTTATTACACCACTTAATATTCTTCTATGCACTCCACATTGTCGAATAGCTGAGGAAGCGTATCGACGCCACATTCTCAAACCTTCCTCTGACGAGGCAACATAGCTATCCATTCTGCGCCGTCGTTGGTAGACTCCAAGATGACACAGTAAAGAGTCGCTTACCTTATATTAGCAAGCATCTCGTGCGACACATATCGTGTGACACATATCGTGTCACACATATCCATATCATATCGATAGTGTCCATATCATAAGTTGCACTAGCCCCGTTAAGCTCCCCAGCGTCCGCAGGGAAGATGGGGATGTCTTGCTCAAACGCATCTAGTTGACCGTGCTCCACTTATTCACATAATTCGGGAGTCTGCTGACAAATGACTAACCCCAATCAGGAGGTCGCGGAGCAAGCGATAACGTCTCAGGTATAATTTGTACCATATAGACAATGATCAGGATTGGTGACGCGCCGCGCGTCACGCGAGTCCAAAACACGTGAAATTGGCTAGTTTCCTCCGACTTTTGCAGAGCCACCAGCGCCACAGGGAATTAACCGGCACTGCAGTTTCAAACTCTCCTGCTGATGGCCACTTTTTGTTCTATCACTGTAGTAGTGGCAAAATAACCGCCATCAGTGGATAATTGAAAACGAGAAAATAGCAATCCTGTGGATAACGCGAATCACACGGGATGTTCAATCAACCTCTTCTTAGTTACAAGCACGCTTCCAGGATCGAGTTCTACATGTGAAATTTAATCCGGGGAGCGCTCTGGAAGCTCAGGAGAGGTCTATCGAACACACCGACTGTGTTTACAACGTCCGATAGAAAAACGTCGCACGCCCTTTTCGACCCACCTCTCCCTGTGAAGTCAGGGACCCGGACTCAGGGGTAGTTTGCCAGCTAGGTAGGCACATAGACTATATTAGTATCTAAATCAGACTGCCCAAGATTCTATCACAGAACGCTAAGCTTACCGCAGATACAGCTCTTCCGTAAAATCACAGCTGAACAAATGTCTCTAGTGAAAGTTTTCACCATCGAAGTCACATAAGTCGTCCACCTCTATCCTCAGCAACTGCTTTTTCCACACCACAAGACCTCGCCAAATAGCCAAGACCCATCAGATCAACGATAGCACGGAGAGACAGCCCGTCAATGGTCAACCGTTCAAGCATACAAATTGGGAAGCGATCTTTAGACGCATCGAATCACGTCAGCAATAATACCGAGGTAAACTATGCAGAACATCAAAAGGGCAACTCTGAACACCCCAACATCACAACAGTGCGATAGACAAGTGACACAACTGAACACAAGATGTGTGGGGAGAAAACATAAGTGAACTTTACTGCTAAGTAATAGTACAAATGATCTTATACGATCTACTGGTAATACAAGGTCGTCGAAAGTCTGTTGAAATGCGATGATATGGATTTGAGGCCATTCCTCAACACACTTTGAATGACATGAAAAAAGGTTACAGCAAAAACCGAGGTTTCATAGCCCTTGGGTGAGCTATGAATAGTATATGCTTGTCAACGGAATATCATTATCAAAAACTTCATCTCTCGCACGTTCAAGTCGGTTAGCAATACAAAGATGCTGACCACTGGTGTAGGCAACACAATCGCCCTCATACAGGAGCCTAGTTCGGAGATCCTCATCAATCTCGCAGTCCTCAGAAGTAATAGAGTCAGCATTGCTACGTTGACAACAACGCTTCGTTGAACGAAAGGTACTTCCTGATGAATTCGACGACTCCGATCGTGGACGACGGTTTCTGATAAAAACGATATACCACGATAACAGAAACTCATCCTACCTAGGAGCCGGTGGCTCATGATCGCTATTGGATTCATCACAACTCAGCTGATCACAATCCTCAACTGCACGCCTTTTAATAGCGCCCAATAGATTCACACTGATTGGCTTCTCATCCATCTTGGGTACACAACAGATCAGGGCCTTGTCCAGCTGATCGGGCTCAACAGAGTCTTTGACGATTTCTACAGTACTTTCAATATCAGGTTCATCGACAGTTAAAATCATTACGAGACACAACGGTACGAAGAATGTGGCGTGAAACTCTACAAGGAGCTCTACACTATGCGTTGGGACATGCGATAATAACTGACATGAAAGCGCTACAAAACTCGTCAATTCACTAATTAGGCGGGGTTTCCAATAGATTCCTCCTGAGTACCAAGGGCGTCCCAGGACCGAGGTCTACACGTTGAATTCACTCCTGCGATTGAATATCATGAAAAGTCAATTGAACACACCTCCGAGGGTAACGACATAAGACAATCACCGAGTTGGTAAGTGAATATTTCACATGAATCTATCCCAGGATGTGTTCCAACGCAAAATATCTTTTCGCATTCACGCACTGCAAAGAAACCTAGCTGATATTTAAGGAACAACAACCGTGCATATCTCCGGTTCGCGTCCCTCCATCGCTTCAAGGGCGCTCTTAGTGCCAGCTTGTACCTGAAAATGCACTCACGTGGAATTGAACCCGCGACCTCTCGGATGGTAACAAGCGATCTTACTATATAAACTGGTATTCCCAAGTCTTTAGCAACTTCCACTGCAGAAGCCAGCTTTGTCTCAATGCCGCCAGTCACATCATGAGCAGGTACGCCTACAAGAAAATAGCTTTCGAACAAAAATGTCAAAAAACCACCAAACCATCAATTCCTGATACCATTCCTTCTCCAACTCCCATACGTGGACGCACAAGACAGTACTCACTGCGCGCGCAATTCACGCGCGATCAGGTTGCATTAACCCGTACTTCCCGCTGAAATACTCACATGTTTTGATATTCGACTTCGCATCTCCCCTAGCCGAGATTCTCGGTATCAACTTAGCTCCCTCCTCATTAGGTGGTTTGTCATAAATACCCGCGACCTGCCATACCAAAATTCCATCAACACGCATCTGACATACATCTTACATCTGTCAAGAAGATTCCTCTCGAAGGCTTAAACGCCCGACACATCCAATAGAAAATCGTGTCGCCCGATAAAATAGTGCAAACCTGTTTTTCGTCAAGCACGCAGTCGCCGTGCATCACCGGGATGATCCCAGAGTTAAGCAAACCGCTCAAACCGTCATACAAAACCTGACTCACGCAATTTCGTGGCGCGCGAAATCTTCATCATCTGCCCACCTGTCCCCACATAGTAAACCACGGCAGCTTCTTATCACTGGTCCAGAGGTATCCACAACTTCCTGAAAAATCACCAGCATCCCATGTCGCGCGCCCCGAAATTATTTCTCACCCACTCCTACTGCTTTCAAGCCGTGATTAACCAGTACATCTACCACCATGCTGTTTAAACGACCAACGCTCGCTCGTGTCGCCACAAATCCCTTAGCTAGGAATCTCGACATCGCATAGGCCGCTGAAAATAAAAGAAAACAATCAACTTCATTGTTTTCTTACTTGTGAAGCTTTATTGAATATAGTTTCATGAGTTTCACGCGAAGTAGCGCTATACTCCAAATTGCGCGATATTCGCAATATGAAGTGAATTGAAAACACTTCACAAAATCAAACCGGACAAATAACCCCATATCACGTGTTTCACGCGTTGTTCACTGCTCTCGTGCTTTTTCGTAAAGTGAAATGTGTTTTTCATATCACTGGAAAAACTCCAATGCTTTTTCCGAAATCGGTTCTATTTGATTTCTACTCGGAATTTACTCGGACAAATCTCAACTTCAAAGAACTCATATGAAAGCAATAACATCTCACATTCCGAAAAATGCTCAATCCTATCAGTAGTTATAATTTTGCAGGAAAAATTACACCCGCCGAGAATCGTCCCAGAGACCTCATCATCGTACATCCCTCCTCGGGTTTTCCCGACAACTCCTTATTTCCCCTCGACACCGCATAGTCTTTTGCTTGGAAATGACCAAAACTACCCGCACCGTGAATCAACTGAGACGAATTCACGCATATGCTCCTTACAAGTTGACAAACTTGTTTTTACTGCAACTTGAATATCACATCTACACTATTCAGTCGTCAACTAACGCAGTGGATAAATTGTCCAACACAAAAAAATGTGAGTCATTCGATTTTTCCTAATTTTATCAGTCGCTCCTGAGTCAATTTTCACACTCCTACTACTGATATTCACATTTGTGTATAACGTGGAGATTGTCCCTGCTTTACAAATAGTGATAGCTGTGACACTTTAGCACCTATATATAAGGTTCTAGTTGTATAAGTTGTATTCCTAAACCTACTACTTCTACCAACTACGAGTATACTGGGGTTCGGCCTACTTAGCACTACATAATGCTTCATCACTGTATCAACATTGTTAAAGTCTTCATTGCTGAAACACTACTTAGCCGGAGTGAAATATTTCAGTTTTGAATTGACCCGAGAAAATCACGCGCTCCTTATACTGCCTGACACACTCCTCTAGTGTAGGCGACGAAATTTCCCAAGGAATTCTCAAAATATAACATCATATTTTTCCTCGCGATGCAAGGCTTTCCCCGTTACCATCGGTCTGGCGTTGGATTTCTCAATCGCTTCCACTAACTGCTCGGCAGTCTTACTCAGTACACCATCATCAATGGTCTCGAACTGACATGAATAAAAACACATCGTTGCAATGTACACAATACGCTTCCCCAAACATGACAAAAATACGGAGTAAATAAATATGAGGGGAAACGATGAATTTAAGAATGCAAAAAATGAAGACAAACGATCCCACGACATTCGAGATGAGAATTCTGGAACGCTCGCGAGAATTAACTTTTCGAGCGCGAAGACAACCCTTTAGTCTCAAATTTTGCTTGTAAATTTGGCGCAGGAAATGGGAGCTCATCGACGCGATTGAAGTTTAATATTCACACAAGTTATGCGTATTGATGATAACAAGCAAATTTTGAGGAAATCTTGGGAAAATTTTCTCACTTTTTTGTGCACTTCTACCCCAAATTTTGTGTAAATTTTAATAATGTAGCATTCGAAACTACCGCGCTCAGTTGTAAAAACCAAAGTTATATCACAACACTCAGTCATGGATAGTATTGGAAAATATGCACATGGTCGGTGACAATATGAAAAATTCTGAGGAAATTTTGGGAAATTATTGTTGGTTTCTACGCTAATACGTATATAAACTCCTGAGCTCAGCAGCTGAGGAGCTCGAACATATATTCCTCAACACTTGACTAGGGACACGCACATAGGGGAATTCTATGAGCGATTACCTCATCTTTCTTGGTGCAAGCCGATCCGCCGATCTTTATCACACAAGTACCTGAACATGGGAATTATATCATTACCAATTGTCTCTCACACAATGAAGATTCTAACCACAGTGTAATAGGCTTTGAGGTTTCTGCGAATTTCCGAGTTGAAATTGGGCGAAACAACTTCTGATTTTTTTCGTAAATTTTCCCTGTTTTACATTTGGTCCCCCTCCTCCTCCTCGAGTAAACCATCGCTGCTGCTATACCGCAAGCAACCGTCGTTGCGACTGCCACACAGCCGCCGATCACTTTACTCGATGATGATGACATGACAGAAACTTCAACTGATCATACTAGGAACGTGGGGAAGCCCACTTGCTTATCTTGCAAATCTTGAGTTTCCTCAACGGGTCTGGACGCCTCGAGGAAGCTGCTGCTCAACTGTACATTACCCAGTAGTAAGCGAATACCTCATCTCATAGTTGTGCTTGGTGCTCTACGGCATCTGTTCGGGACGGCTGAGGTTGATGAGAGTCTCACTGGTGATTCATAATTCACCATGTGAGACGTGTATGATTTTGCTTTTCCACGAAGAAACCAATTCACTTGTGTAAGTGCATTGACGTGGCACTTGTTATTATTATTTTCCCTCTAACGACTTGATGCTCATATGTATTCAACCACTTCTCGTTTTTACTCATCATAACAATGCTTGTGTCATCGAAGTAGTTGTGTCACAATTCGACTCGTTTTTGATAAGTAATGTTTTCCTTAATTTTCTGTTGTACTACTTTCGTCCTCACTTGCCCACCGTTTCACATATAGTCTCATAGTCTTTCCCACGGCAAGTGCTCTACTCTACATTAGAGCCAACCCAGTTCATCTATATAATCTTCAACAGCTTAAGCTTAACCGATTCTCAATATTCTACCTAAGCTTAGCCACTTCTGCAGTGGTCAACTTGTGTGTCACCCGGTCTCGGTGCCACAGCTGAAATCATTCGTTTGTCAGTCACCGAGAATGTCATTAACCTCTGAAGATGTCATTTCTGAGGGAAAATTGACTTCTATCGTAGTGGTTTTACATTATTTTTATTTTTTTTGTTTTTTAGTGATTTTCCCTGTTCTCTCAGTCTTATATCTATTTCTATAGTTGATAACAATTGGATTGGTCCCAAGCGTTTTTCTCGTAGTGTTGGCTTTATTACTAGTGATATAAACTCATGTCCTCAGCTGCCACCGATGCTCGAACTGCTGCCGCTGTTAACGCCGCTGCAGTGACTCGTGATTACACAATCAACCCTAGGGTTGAGTATCAGACCATTACTGGTGTCGAGGTAAGCAATCGGGCCTAATCTGTATCTTACAATGTGCAACCTTGGATTCTTCCTCAGGGGCCTTTGGTCATTCTTGACAATGTCAAGTTCCCCCAATACAACGAGATCGTCAACCTCACGCTTGCTGATGGTTCCACGAGACAAGGCCAGATTCTCGAAGTCAACGGTTCCAAGGCCGTTGTTCAAGTACGTTCCCAATCGTCTTCAGTTGTTGATAATTTCTCCCCAGGTTTTCGAGGGAACTAGTGGTGTTGATAACAAGAACTGCTACATCGAGCTCACTGGAGATACTCTGAAGATGCCCATGTCTGATGAGATCATGGGTCGTTCTTTCAACGGTTCCGGTCAGCCCATTGATAAGGGTCCTCAAGTCTTGGCCGAGGAGTACTTGCCTATCAATGGTTCTCCCATTAACCCCAAGTCTCGTCAGTACCCTAAGGAGATGATTCAGACCGGTCTGTCAGCGTTGGATACGATGAACTCAGTCGTCCGTGGTCAGAAGTTGCCTCTATTCTCAGCTGCTGGTCTTCCCCATAACGAGATCGCTGCCCAAGTGTGTCGCCAGGCTCAGCTTGTTCAGGGTAAGGACATTCACGATCACTCCAAGGAGAATTTCTCTATCATTTTCGGCGCTATGGGTGCCAACATGGAAACTGCCAGATTTTTCCGCAATGATTTTGAGGAAAACGGCTCAATGGAAAACGTCGTTCTGTTCATGAACTTGGCCAACGACCCCACTATTGAGCGTATTGTTACTCCCCGGTTTGTGCTTACCGCTGCTGAGTACTTCGCATATGAGCGCGAACAGCATGTGTTTGTCATCTTGACTGATATGTCCTCATACGCTGATGCTCTTCGTGAAGTCTCTGCTGCTCGTGAGGAGGTCCCCGGTCGTCGTGGTTACCCTGGTTACATGTACACCGATCTCGCCACTATCTACGAACGAGCTGGTCGTGTTGAAGGCCGTAACGGTTCTATCACTCAGTTCCCCATTCTGACCATGCCTAACGATGATATTACTCATCCTATCCCTGACCTTACTGGTTACATTACTGAGGGCCAGGTCTTCGTGGATCGGTCTCTACATAACAGGCAGGTGTACCCCCCGATTAACGTCTTGCCCTCACTCTCACGTTTGATGAAGTCTGGTATTGGCCGCGGTATGACTCGTGACGACCACCCCAGTGTGTCCGATCAGCTCTACGCTAACTATGCTGTTGGTGTCGATACTCGTGCTATGAAGGCAGTCGTTGGTGAGGAAGCCCTCAGTGAGGAGGATCACTTGTACTTGGAGTTCCTTGATAAGTTCGAGTCCAAGTTCTTGAGCCAAGGCCCCTATGAGAACCGTGATATCTTCCAGTCGTTGGATATTGCATGGGAGCTTCTCCGTCTGTTCCCTGAGAGTATGCTAAAGAAGGTGCCACAGAAGGTCAAGGACAAATACTACCCCCGTGATCGTGAGGCTCAGAAGGCTACTCAGGAGGCTAAATAAGATGACGTAGTGTTGTCACGATTCATACTCACTGCATTAGTAGTTTGATTGGCTCCTTTAGAGGGAGCTCACTGCGAAGGTGTAGTGATAAGTGTTTAAAATTGTGTAGATGATTATATCATTCAACAGCTGGCGGATCATCGTGTCCTTGTGGCTGTAGTTGATCAGTCATTAAAGAGTGTTTCTTTGCAATATTGATATTCGGAATGTGTGGTGTAACTCGTGGTCAATCACGGGATGGTTATTCTAGTATCTGCGCCTAGACTAGGAAGATTCTGATGGTAAAAAGGCATTTGGAGACTATAGTTGTTTTTGATGTTATTATGATCTTGGTAATGCAGCACGTGCTAGAAAGAGTAGTCTGCCTCGTTTGACATGTAACCTTCGGTCTTGGCGCAATGTTGACGCACTCTTCGCGAGTTATAGAGAATATGTGAAGGTGTGGAATATTCATAGTATACGTACGTAGTCACAATGGATTTGGGCTGAACTTTTCCGGAAGGTGAAAGTGATGGGGACAATACTTGTGTCGCGTAAATTGCTTCTCTCAAGCTTTGCTTGCCTTTCCTAGTATCCTCTTCCCGAGTTAGAGAAAGTCTCACCCGGCAACTCTAGCCACGTATGAATGCCATCGCCTAGGACGCCTTGTGATGCACGAAGATTGACTGCAGAATAATAGCAAAGCTTGGAAGCTCACCCGTAGCATAACTACGCTTCGCTTAACGCTAAGCTTAAGTGCTGAAAGTCGCTGGGCAAGGGTAAAGATCACCATCAGTCAGTTAGTCTGATTTCTTATTCACAAATTCCTGCTATCATGCTTTCTTCCAAGCTCACTTTGAACAACATCTCTGAGGAGGAGATCAAGGGCAAGAGAGTCCTCATGCGCGTTGACTTCAACGTCCCCATCAAGGAGGGTCGTGTTGCTGACAAGACCCGTATTGTCAAGACCATCCCCACCATCAAGCGTGTCATGGAAATGGGTGCCCAGAGCATCGTCCTTATGAGTCATTTGGGCAGGCCCCAAGGTCAGAGGAAGGAGGAGTTCTCTCTCGCCCCTGTTGTCCCTGTTCTTGCCGGTCTATTGGAGCACGAGGT